AATGGCACAATGTTCCAGCCCAAAACACAACCCATGTAGGCATGACTCACAATGTGTGTTTCCAGAGATATCATAGCATGATAGTTATAGAATTTACAAATAGATAGTCATATGACTATCCGGGATTAGGGTTTATTACAGCTTACAAGTCTTTAGGCCAACGGACTGCCATACCACGCAGTTCCCAAGGCCATTTCGGTGGCTGGCAGAGAATCTAGCAGTCGTAAGGGATGGACCATTATTGTAAGCAGATTTAAAATTACAAATGATCACAGAATGAAATCAATTGGATATTTTTTTATCAATATGTGTTTGATAATGAAAACAAAAGGCAAATGACATTTTAATGATATTAGACATTACATGCAATAGAAATTAAATGTATAAATTCAAAACCATCTACAATTTGAAGAAACAATCCACATGTTTTTAAAAAAGCACAACATGAAGGATGGTATGTCTGACATCACTACACTGATCATCTCATTGGTTAAAGAGATTAGCATAATAATGTCATATACATAGCTGAAAGTTGATTTACCGACCCCAATTGTAATTGGTTTCGTCAAAGTATATCACTGAGGATAAAAGAAATCTATATACAATTGTACCTAAATGACAGATCACAATTGCACATGCGTACACTCTAAATCAACTACATGTATACAAAAACTAATAATAAAACCACAATTACAGTATAGGATATACAAAAATGACGAAACAAGATGCTCGATCTGAGATCCTTGGATTATCACTCAGCCGTTCTAGCCTTGCAATGGTCGGAAAATGGCAACATCGGATAAAAATAGACAAAAGTAATGCTAAAAAACTTATAGATCCCACCACATGTCTAAGATGAATACTAAAAATATATAGATGTAATAAAATACTTTAACTTCATAAAAGATTCAGTGTGTTTAATTTTTTTTAACCCAGAAGACAAACCACCAAAATCAGTGGGGTAAATATCGGGGAACATTTACCGGATTTTATTAAAAACACGAGAAGAGTACATAAAGAGGGAGGGGGGCCGAACCAAAACCCCTCCAGAGAGGCATTCCTCCCAAAACACAACTGATGAAACAATAAAACAACAAATTCCATTGAGGGGACTAGGCCAAAACCAATGGAAAAAGTACAAATCAATACCAAAATATACAAAACAGACAATTGGGGGGCTAGACATGACCCAATAAAAAATTAATGTGAAATTCTTTGAGAAGGAAGTCTGAAGAGATCCATATAATAAGATTGACGAGCTCGGGCCGGAAGAGAACTGGGCTGTGAATAATATACCTGGTGGGTCGGGATCTGGATTGCAAGGAAATGAGCTACCCAGTTAGCTTCACGAACAATGTTGTAAAAGGAAACCCCCTTCGTTTCAAACAGAACCAACAACGGTTGGACTTCATCGTTCCACCTACCTCCCCCCGCTGCTGATGTACCTCACCACTTCCATGGAGTCCGTTTCCACCTGGAAATCATGGAAGCCCTCTCCCATCGCTCAACGCGTAGCTTGAAGCATTGACAACAATTCCGCCTCTAGCGAGGATGCCAAGATCATCATGCCAAGATCATCTGGCCTTTGTTGTTTCTCAAGATGGCTCCCCCTGAAGCACCCTGAGGTGAGAAACTAGCATATGTGTGTAGCTTGAGAGCATTTTTTGGTTTATTCCATATAATTGCCCTCATATTGGGAACCAAACATTCCAGCCCAGCTGATTGTGAGGTTACCGTGCCTGGTGAGAGGTCTCGACTTCGAAACCAGCTAGGCACATAAGGGTTCGAAACTCAATGGAGTGAGTTTCAGCCCTGTTTACTACACCCCCCCCCCCCCAAGCCTCCCTCCTCTAAGCCCCCCTCCCCCAGACCCCCTAGAGTAAAAAAAACTGCCTTAATATTGGGACGAGCAGCTCTGAAATTGTATGGAATCAAGCCTTCTTTGTATAGAACTCCTCCTATTCTTTTAAGCTTGCCTGTAGGAAAACTGGAGATCCACATTCGAGTATAAAGCTTAATCTAATCAATAAAATTAATCTGAGAGGGAAAAGAGTCGCTTGTACCCCAAAGATACTAGAGTAGGTTATCCAAACTTACCAACAAATTATTCCAGGAAGACCGTGCTTAAAGACATCATCTAAGCGTTTAGTATCAGCTCTAAGCCACCAAGAGACAAAGATCTGCCTAATGGAAGTTGTTTGAGAAAGAATTTTAATACCTAAAATTCCCATAAAGTACTCCTAAACAGGCTTGATTTTATCACAATACAATTGGTCTGGTGATTAAATTAAAACATTTTCTTATATCACGAATTATTACAATGATTTTATGATATCTTTTTATTCATGTTCATTAAGATGTCATGAAATTTAATACGTTGCTTATTTTGTTTATCTTAACAAAAAATTGTGATCCAAATCACACAAAACACATTCGACGTCGTGATGTAACCAGGTGGTAACTATTTTATGAGATTTTATAATGTTTTGTAATCTATTATTATTTTGATCAGAAAATTGTATTATTAAGTAATAATTAGTAATTATTGTTATTTTATATTCTTATATAGTTGCGAATTTGTATTATGTTACTACCTTCGTCCCTAAATAAACATTGTACTTTTCTTTTTGATCTGTCCCAATTCAATTTGTAGATACCTCATCCTAACTATCGTTTATGTAATTACAATTCATTATGTATATTACGTCTTGACTATTTCCATACTATTATCCATGAATTAATAATTTAAACCTTATTAACAAATAAGGACATACGTCTATTACTTTCTTATGTCTCGTGTATCGCACATGTGAAAATCTAGTTAATATAACATACTCCCTCCGTCCCACAAAACTTGGCCATTTTGACTTTTCTTGGTCAATGATGGTTAAGTTTGACCAATGATATTTCTTAATATAAAATTATTTCAAAAATGAAAATTATATGAAAATGTTCTTTGTTAAAAATAGTTTCATAAAAGTATAAAAATTATAAGTTTCACACAAATATAATAACTCAAATCGTTGTTCAAACTTTTTTCTCATTGACCAACAAAAGTCAAATTGGCCAAGTATCGTGGGACGGAAGGAGTAGACAAGAAGAAATTAACGGTGTACACCATAGTGGGACAAGAGGGAGTAATATAAACCGTAGTAGTATATCCTGGGTAGAGCTCCGAGCAAACCACCATTTGCTCTACAATAATAGTAGTAGCTTTAGGTGAGAATCGGACTTGGACATCATGAAAGTTGCAAAAAAACATTGTTAGGGTTAAATAAAAAATAAAATTCGCATTTTATAACCCCCAACCCCTAATTGAGATACTGACCCGAGAAAGATGAACCAGGCGCGGAATCAAGTCATCAACACTGATTAATCTGATTCCGACTAATTGGACCGACCATGTTACATTGTTACCCCTACTGGCCTACTAGTGTGTTAATGTCATTTGTTGCCAAAATTTTCAACCGGATATGTATGTATGTTATGTATGTATGTGTTGTGTGGATAATGACTTCTATATTGCATGACCCTGGACTATTGCACGTTTAAAACTTCAAAATAGTGTACGCCCACTTTACTTGGACTGTAATTTGCTGGTCTGGTCTGGTCTGGTCTGGTCTGATCTGGTCTGGTCTGGTCTGAACTGGTCTGGTCTGGTCTGGTAAGGTCTGGTTTCTTTGTATTTTTATAACTATCCAAGTCTGGTCTGGTCTGGTCTGGTCTGGTCTGGTCTGAACTGGTCTGGTCTGGTCTGGACTGGTCTGGTCTGGTCTGGGGCAAATTACAGTCCAAGTAAAAACATCCTTACAGGACTTTTTTTTTATGATACTACCTGAGAATTCTTAGAACTGGTTTGGTAATATATCGAAGCGAGTGACTCTGCTAAAATTTATGAAATTCTAGTTGAAGTGTTTGGATTGGTTGGTTCTATTGATTTAAAAAAAATTAAATATATTTTATTAATAAAATAAAGAAAAGATTATATAAAAAATAGCTAAAATGGTGCTTACAGTAATTTCAGCCAATATAAGCATAAAGTAATTTCAAATTTACTTTTTCTTATTATTACACAATTCAGTGCGCGGAATCAAAAGTTACGTGTTCGGTGGAAAAAATAGCTGATGAGGTTGATAAGCCAAAATACATAGGCACCAAACAGGTTCCTAGCCTTGTTTTTCGGCTTATTAGGCATATCGACCAATTTTTTTCTACTAATCACGTAACTTTTGATTCCGTGCGTTGAATTGTGTAATCATAAGAAAAAGTAAGTTTGAAATTACTTTCTGCCTATATTGGCTGAAATTACTGTAGATGACTATTTTAGTTATTTTTTCATATAATTTTTCTTTATTTTATTAATAAATGATATTTTAAATATAATTTTTTAAAATTAAGCAGAATCAGACAATATTATCACTTTAGCTAGAACATCATAAATTTAAGCATAATCATCCGATTCAGCCGATTTCATTGTTACCATAGACTCTTAAATAATTGTCTAGTACTCCATCCGTCCCGCTAAAATTGTCCCATTTTACCTTTTCGGGAAGTCCCACTAAGATTGTCACATACCAAATTTGGTAAAGATTGTATGGCTCTAAATCATTCTTACTTTATTCTTACTTTATCAATTTAATATCAACCACACAAACTCACTTTTCTTAATATTCGTGCCACCTTCTCTTGTCTCAATCTTAGTGTAGTATTAATCTATTATTTGTACAATTAAAATAGAACTGTTTGTCAATTAATATGCACACACTACATAAATAGGCATTAATTTTTCACGCAGACTCGCTTTGTCATGATGATGCACACAAATAAGTCTTTTTATTATAGGTGCACATTAATGTATAAATTGGTTGCACAAAATACACTCCGTATTTTAATTTCAAAATTACTAAAATTACGGAGTCTGTAATGGAAGGACCACAAGCAAAATTTAGAAAATATCCGGAGACAGAATGTACACTAATGTTAATATTTCAAAGAATCTTCGAAAAATGAAGTCACATCCCTCTCCATGCGTGCTTTGGAGGGAAAATAATTGCTTTTTTCCTCAAAATTAGTGCCTTAATTATCTATTCATTGTCTAATGCTCTACTGCCATTGCTGGAAGTTTGAAACACCATTCATGCCATTCCTTCTTCACTCTCTTAAAGTAACCCTAGTCACCGCTATACTCCATTAGCTGTACATTCTTGATTTTCCGGCTCCGTCACCAACTCCGGCGTCCACCCCTCTACTCTTCCCTCCCTGTTCAAAGGGTAAAGTTATTGTCCTGTTACAAAGTTGGAGAGGGAAGAGTTCAGCTTTTCTGTCAGATCTGTTTATGAGTTTTCATTTGTTGGGTTAAAGTTGAGCTCTTTTTCTGGCTGATCGAATGAAGTTTAGCTGAAGCAAGTCTTATTGTTTCTCTTCAAGAACTAGTATCAATGTCTTCAGAAATGCGCCGCCGCAGCCTCGGCGGAAGTGGCGGCGGAGCTAGTGGAGGAGTAGGGAATAGTTTTGATCCGAGCAACTTGCATTTGAAGAGGGAGCTAACCCATATCAAGAAAGCTGCCAAGGCGCTTAGAGATCCCGGAACCACCTCTTCATGGAGGTCGCCGCTCGGCTCCGCCAGATCTACGGCGGCGGCGGGTGATATACTGAGCCACACCTCTAAACACCATTACTCTCACCATCACAATATCCCCGACGATGCTTTCAATATCAAAGGAGCCCAAGAAGTCGCATGTCCTAGTGAAACTACCCCACCTCCTACTTATCCGATCGAAAGAAACGGAAATCCAGATACCAACGGGAAGGAGAAGGAGAAGAAGGTGTTTTTGTATAACTGGCGGTCACAAAAATCAGAGAGTGAGAGGAGTAGAAGTAGAGTACAAAAAGGCAAGGGAAACGGAAATTGTTCGACTTCTTCACAGGAAGAGAGCATCGCTGATAGCCTAAGTGATGCAAGGCATGGTGGAAATGATTCAAAGAGTGACACGTATGTAGGTGACCGTAGGTATGCTTCAATCATGCTGAAGTGTAATAAAGATACTAACTTTATGCCATCCATCAGACGAAACATCAAGAAGAAATCGAAGAAAAACAATTTCTCCACCGCCATATTGCAGAAAAAACAAATGGCTTCTGCAAATTTGGTTAATGATCAGTCTGAAGATACAGAGGACTATTCTAATTCTAATGCGGAGGATTTCAGGAGGCTAACTGCAGCTTCACCTTTGCTTGCTAGGCTCAGGAACAAGAAGAAATGGGCTTATAAGTTGAGAAACAGTTGTAAACGAGAAGATTCTTCTTATTCTTATAGTACCCCTGCATTGTCTACCAGTTCTTACAACAGATATGGTGGACTTAGGAATCCACCAAGTAGGGTAGGCTCATGGGATGGCACTACCCAATCCTTCAATGACGGTGACGATGAGGTGGAGGGCCAGTTGGGTTTGCCTGGCAGGCACGGATGTGGTATTTCGTGCTGGTCCATGTCCTCCAGAAGGTCTACACCAAAATGCTATTCACCTTCTCTTTCAGACACATTGAGGATGAAGAAAGGGAGCACCTTTTTATGTGGGACTCGAACAAGAAAGCACATCAAAAGGAGACATGGTGGTTCCCAAGGTCTCATCCCATTGCTAACTAATGGAGGGTCGTCTATGGGTACGGCAAGTGGTGATGATGATGAAGATGATGAGTTGTCCACAAACTTTGGAGAAATTGATTTGGAGGCATTAAGTAGACTGGACGGGAGGAGTAGGCTAGACCTAATGGCATTTGACAGAGAAGAAGAAGAAGAGGAAGGAGAAGGTTCTCCTGAGAATATCAGAAGTTTTTGCCAGAAATATAGACCTACATTTTTTGAAGAATTGATAGGTCAAAACATAGTTGTCCAGTCCTTGATGAACTCAGTTTCTAGAGGACGGATTGCTCCAGTTTATATCCTCCAAGGCCCACGCGGGACTGGAAAGACTTCAACTGCAAGGATTTTCGCTGCCGCTCTGAATTGTGTTTCCACACAAGAAATCAAGCCGTGTGGGGGTTGTAGGGAATGTGCGGATTTCATCTCCATGGGGAAGTGCAGGAATCTTAATGAAGTTGATGGGACCAACAAGAAAGGCATTGATAAGCTCAAGTATCTCTTGAAGACTTTATCTTTAGCTCAACAATCAAATTCTTCTTCTTCTTCGGGGTATAAGGTTTTCGTTATTGATGAATGCCACTTACTGCCATCAAAGACTTGGTTGGCATTTTTGAAGTTTCTAGAAGAACCGCCGCCACATGTTGTTTTTATGTTCGTTACAACAGATCTTGAGAATGTGCCGCGTGCCATATTGTCACGCTGCCAGAAGTACATCTTCAATAAGATTAGGGATAGTGATATAGTGACCAGATTGAAGAAGATAGTCACTGGTGAAAATTTGGATGCAGAACCTGAAGCACTTGAGTTGATCGCTTTGAATGCGGATGGGTCACTTCGTGATGCAGAAACAATGTTGGACCAACTCAGTCTGTTGGGGAAGCGGATTACTACCTCCTTGGTTAATGACCTGGTCAGTTACATTCTTTCTATTTAGTTTATACCAAAGCATGAAATAAGAACAGACAATGTATAAATTCTATTTCTATTATACTATGTATGTTTTATTTAAGAATTTTCTAACTGCTGCATGACCAGATGGATAGATTCACCTTCCGTTTATATTTGCTGCAATAGTAGATCAAAATTGAATTCCAATAGACTAGTTGATGAAATTGATTGCCTCTCACTTTGTCTATTTATTTTTTACTCCAATATCAAATGTAGATGCATGTTAGTGAACCCCTTTTGGAAATAAGGCTTGGATGCTGTAGTATTTGACTACAATTTATTTAAGCTGAACGGTTCAAACTTATATGTCTGTCATAAAGGTTGGGGTGGTTTCCGATGAAAAACTACTGGAACTTTTGGAGTTAGCAATTTCATCTGACACGGCAGAAACAGTCAAGCGTGCCCGAGAGTTATTGGATATGGGTGTGGATCCAATAGTATTGATGTCACAATTAGCTGCCCTTATCATGGATATCATTGCGGGAACTCTCCCCAGTATTGATGCAAAGCCAACTACTTCATCATCCCTTGTTGGAAAGAGTTGTAAGTCCTGATTCTTCATCAATCCCTTCCATATTTACTCCATTTTATTGTCCTCGTCAAACCAGTTGCACAAGTGGGTAATTACTTGCAATCAATGATATAATGACACACTGGTGCCGTTGGCGCTAGAAAATCTGTTACATGTTTAGATGTTCTTCTGAACTGATTGGTGCCTTAGCAATTTTCTTGTATCCTGTTCTTGGAATTCTGTAACATTATATTAAGTATTTGTGCCTATTTTGGAGGGTATACTCCCATTAGAGGGGTTTGCCTCTAGGCCTAGGTTTTATGCCCCCTCTTGTAGTTTTCATCATACCATTAAATTTTGGGTGTGCACAAAACATATTAGTGCCTGTTAGCCCATTAGGTTGTCGTCTTTTTTAGTTTGCGAGTGAGATTTTTTACCAAAAAACAATGTATTTCATCATGTTGAGTCCGATGATCATTAAAAAAACAGTGCAATAGTTATTTCTTTTGGTGGTTTTGTAAGAGCGAAATTGATGAAAACCAAAATTATGCTTTTAACTTTTATAAAAAAAAAGTTACACATTTTCATGAATACCAATAAGATATAAGCAATGCACGTTTGTACACTTAAAAGTAAAAAGAAAAGAAAAAATATGAAATATTAATATGATTTTCTTCTTAAGTTTTATGAATTCATCCATCGAAGGTGTAATTGTGAGAAAGGTTGAAGTTTGAGTCTTTTTTTAATAAAAGTGAAAGTATGGGATAGATTTGTAAATTTGATGATAGTTGGGGATATATTTAGCTAATAATCCTTTATATTTTGAATTTATTTTCAAATATATATTTTCAATAGTATTCAAGTAGATTCAGTCACACTAGTCATCATAGGCCTTAACCATCGAGCAGGCTCTTGAAGTTGGAATATGCATTAGCTGGTGGTTCTGTTTTCTTCTTAGCGTTTTTCTGTATTTTGTATTTTTGTTTTTTGAAGATTGATTAAAAATTCAATGAATCTGGTTGGTTTCAGTATCTGAGATGGATGTGGACAGGCTGAGGTATGCATTGAAGCTACTGTCAGAAGCAGAAAAGCAACTACGGGTCTCCAGTGAACGCTCCACTTGGTTCACAGCGACCCTACTACAGCTAGGTTCTGCCCCTTCCCCAGATCACCAAACTCATACTCATTCTGGTAGCAGCCGAAGGCAAAGCTCCAAAGCACCAACAGAAGAAGAAGATCCTCTAAGGAAACAAAGGGGTGGACATTTAAAGGCCAGTACTAGAATCTCGGCAAGTAGTGAGGCAGGACCCTCTAAGGTAGCCCCTCAAACCAAATCAGCATTACCTGCTAGGTGTCTCAATACAAATGTGCTGGATGACGTTTGGGTGAGATGCATTCAAAAGTGTCATTCCAATACTTTGAAGCAGCTTCTTCTAACCTGTGGGACCCTCATCTCTATTTCCGAAATTGAAGGTCAGCCTTTTATTGTGTTTTTCTGCCATTACTGATTTTATGACATTGTGACCAAGAGATAAGTACAAAAGAAAGAAGCCAAATGGAAAGAAGCAAATGAGTTGAGATTTTTGTGAGTTGTTCTGATTGCAAGAGACGAGAAAGAAAAGTTGAGGTTTCTCTTCATTTGTTTGGTTAGATAGAAAAGTGAAGAGAGAGAAAATACGTTTTTCATAAACTTATATATGATTTTACTATTACATAAAAACAGTTAGCTTACTATTGTACTCTCCTTCACAAACAACAAAAATTTCCCCATTTATCTTTCAAATCTCTTCTTGTAGTCTTCTTTTGGATGGGTCCTACCTCTACTTTCTCACACCTCCCTCACTTCCAAAACAACCGAAACACTTCAATTTCTCTCTTATGCCCCTCGTCCCTACTTCTTTCTTCTCAAAACCACCCCAAACATACAAAAGGTAACTTCTGTGTTGGCAAGTTACCTTCGTTGTACCGGCTGTTTTAAAGTGTTAGTGTGGTTAGGCATGGCACATTATACAACATCAACAACATCCAAGCCTTTATCCCAAAAGAGTTTGGGACGGTACATTATAACGAAAAGAAAATGCGGTGGCCAAAAAAGCCTATGGACATTTATTTCTCTTCTTGATTTTAGTCTCCATTTTGAACCGTGAGAATGCTCTGGGAAGAAAATATAGGAGAATTTTGGAAGGAATGAAAACGGTGGAGCCCCGAGGGAACCAGTCGTGATAATTTTTTATCATCCAACTCGGGCAAGACTCAAACAAATAATTAATAATTAATGAAGAAATACATTTCTATAGCTAGGTAGTTTATAGTTTATCTTTATATTCACGACACAAAATAATTATATTCATTTATACACAAAATAATTGTTGGTTCAAACTCAATAAATTTATTTTTTAATATTGATTGTATTCATATTTATTACGGAGTATTGTTTATAAATATTAAACATATTAAACATAAGAAAATAGCTTTCCTTTTCATGTGGCATTTTCCAAGACCAAGACATACCTAAAAAAATGGAGAATAGCAGAAATTGTCATTCACTTCATCTTTTCAGCATCTTAATAACTCGTGATTTTAGAACATTTTATTACATGCAACTCTTTGATATAGGTGTTTTGGTTGCTCACGTTGCATTTCGGGACAATGTAATAAAAACAAGAGTGGAGAGGTTTCTGAGCAGCATAACAAATTCGTTCGAAAATGTTTTACGAAGAAACGTAGACGTGAGACTCATTCTATTACCAGAGGGAGAGGGGGAAACAGAAACTTCTGCTGCAGCTGCTGCTAACACTTCAAACCTAATGACCTTGCTAGATTCAAGTCCAAAGCACCCAGCAGAAGCAACAGTTCCAGCACAGAGAATAGAATCAATTATCCGTGAACAGAGACTAGAAACAGCCTGGTTACAGGCAATGGAAAAAGGTGCTACTCCTGGTCCTTCTTCATTGAGCCGACTTAATAAACCGCCCGAGAGGAACCAGGTCTTACCCCAAGATAATCATTCAGTGCACCCAATGTCAACGACTTCCCTTGACGTAGATGAACTGCATGAAGAACTCAAGAATTTGAGGATCAGTGATGAAAAGAAGGTTAAAACTACAAGAGACCTAAACACTAAAAGGGTCGACCATTGTCCCATTTCACCAAGTTTGTTGCATGGCACCTCCGGCTATGCAAGCATTAATAATGGCAAGGACAACATGTAAGTATATCATGTTTCTCTATTCCCTTCTGCCCCCCGCCCCCATCTTGCATCGTAAAATGAAAAACACTTTTGGTTGCATCGTATTGTAAATTTGTTCTGCCAACAAATATACTCCCTCCGTCCCGAAAAGGTTGGCCAAAGTCGACTTTCACGTGGATTAATAAAGTAAAATTTGTGTGGTTGAAATTTGTGCGGAGGAGAGAGAATTAATTTTAGCCACATATTCGGTACTTTAAATGGAAATGGCAAATCTTTTTGGGTCATCCAAAAAAGGAAATTTGGCCAACCTTTTCGGACGGAGGGAGTACAAAATAAACACCAAATTAGTCATAGATGTGATGACATATCTATTTCTAATTGTATACAGGGGATATGAATCCGGAACAGGAGCATATGGTTGCAGTCAGCTTCTATGTTGGAATAACACCAAAGTTCAAAGGGGGAAGAAGGTATGCATTCTTTCTCTGCTATCTCTTCATTTGTGTTTGTGTTTGCTTGGTGGCACTTTTTCCTGCTGGCTTATATGGCTAAAGACCCAACATATTTGAATGATCGGTTAATGTTGACACTTTATGCTAAAGTTGCCAAAAGGAATGAAAATGACATTTTATCCTCATACTTAGAAACTGACTTATTTGGATTATTTAAAGAAAAGTTGCCAAAAGGAATGAAAATGACATTTTATCCTCATACTTAGAAACTGACTTATTTGGATTATTTAAAGAATGTATCTTGAATTATGTTTCTCAATAAGTCAGCAAATTTAGTTAGCATTAATATTGTGTGAGCAGATGAAACAAGGAACCCCTGTCCGTCCAAGCAGAAGTAGGCGGCTTTCATGGATTGGGGAATGTGCAAAAGGGCGCGGGCACAGACGATGAGATGATTAGCAGAACATGCATGAGTTTCTGGTTCAGATTTTTCTTATGGTTCTATCTATCCTCTTTTCTTTTTGTATATTTATTCCTTCCACTTGCATTCCTATTCTTTGAGCCTTCAGAGTTACTAAACAATGATTATGTAAATTTTTCCAACCTGAGCGGCATCTGCCACTTGTTCAGAGCTAAGTTTCTGTGCATTCAATAAACGGTAGAGTTCAAGACTTGCGTGCAATCAATAAATAAATAAATGGTACTTAAAGGTATCCGGAACCCACAAAACTAACACACTTAATACGAAACTAGCGTATTCACTCTAGGCCGCCCAGCCGAGTCCACCCCTATTTAGGGGTGTTTGGAACTAATTCTGCTTCCACTTCTTTTTTAAAGCAGAAGAAGAATCAGTTTTCAGAAGCTAGTCACCCCAGCTTCTAAAAAAACTGATTCTAGGAGTAAATTTGAGTATCAGAGTCACTTCTGCACTTTCATCCAAACACCCCCTTAGAAGTTTGTTACATTTCCCTTTTTGGTAAGTTTTTCTTTTAAAATAATCAATTACCCTTGTTTTTCTACTTTTTATCAATTCCTTAAGTATTGTATCAAAACCTAATATAGTGATTTTTTAAATATGGAGGGAGTATATTTTTTTCTAATAAATTTATTTTGTTTTATAAGGAATTATTTTTAAACAATATAAATGATGGGATTATTAACAAGCAATTTAATACATTATTTGATGCTAATGTCAGTGTGAAGTTAAAAGGGCACAGCACTATCAACAAGGAGTTTTCTATAAATATTATTAGGCAGAATTGACATAAATAATCCCTACTTTTATGCATTTTACTAAAATAATCCCTACCGAAAAAGTTTACAAAAATAATCTGAACTACTCAACTCTTTCACAGAAATAAACTGGAGTCAACGGTGTTAAGTTTTTTGCATTTTAAATATAATGAAGCATAAATATTTAGAAGCATCAACAATATTAAATGCTTCTTATATTTGTCCTTATATTTATTTTTGTTATGAATTAAATTTAATAGCCATTATTTTTCATAAAATGTAATAGAAGTATTTAAAAACATACTCATCAAATTCTCATTTTTTTTAGTTCTAATCAATATTTTATTTATATTAATTTTTATTTCATTATCATAGAGATTTAAAATTAATTTTAGTAATTATATACGTGAGTATTAAACATTACTACGTACTAAAATGAATACAAGTCTGTGTTCAAATATTTTTATTATATTTTACCAAAAAAAAAGTAGTTATAACTAAATTAAATTTATAGTAGAAATAAGACTAAACAAAAACATAATATTATTAGTGTTTTTATATATTTGCTTCATTTTATTTTAAATTTCAAAAAAAAAAAAATTAACGGAAAAGTTAACACCTTTAACTTCCGGTTTATTTTTGTGAAACAAATACCCGGTTGGGATTATTGTTGTGAACTTTTTCAGTAGGAATTATTTTTGTAAAATTCCTAAAAGTAGGGACTATTAGTGTCAATTTCACCATATTATTAAAATGAAACATATTGAAAAACACTTATTACAGTAAAATCCATTCAAGTGTAATAATTAAACATAAATTACTATGTTTTTGTATTTCTAATTGCATTTTTGTAAATTACATGTATTTTGGTCTGACCCGTCCTACTATTTTTTCAGTCTTTTTAGTTTGTGGCATAAATGGTAAATTGGTAATACAAGTACCCAGTACAGTACACAATATGAAAAACCACAACCAAATTAAAGATTAAACTAAACTAAAAAAATAACTGTTTATAGTCCATGCGATTGTAAGAGCACATATACTAGTACATGTTTAAAAAAGGTGAGCAATAAATTAGTAGCACTAGATTCAAATTAGCAGCTTAATTTGCAAATATCAATTCTGTGCAAGGATATCACCAATATACGTCCTCATTAACGTATAATCTTTCTAGAAAAAATGACATGCATATTACCAACAGGGTTTCACCGAACAAAAATATGACTAATTATGTTTTTTGGACAAAAATATGGCTAATTATGGCTAGTCAGTAGTCATTATGTATGAGTAAATGGATAAGATTCACTAGGAACTAGTCATTAAATAAAAATAAAATAAAAATACTCCGTAATATTCATGGAAAAATACCCTCTTTCTACACCAAAATGTAGAGATAATTTGCAAAACGAACTCAATGTAATCCCCCTGCTTTTGACAAAAATCACTTTGCGATTTGAACTCAATTAATTGTATTTTATCTATTTAACTTAAGGTGTTCACAAAGGAATGTTTTTTCACATGATTTTTGGAATGTTCAACTTTCTAAGTTATATTGACCTGTACACATTTACACCCTTAGATTATCAAGTTCGTTACAATTAGGACATGTTTACTTCGTTATTTAATAAACGGTGCTTAATAAAGCATGTCTTATTAAGAAGTGTATCAAATTTGCGTTTACTTCATAAGGCTTAAAAGATGCCTTATATTTAAATTGACCGAAATAACCTTAAACATATTTGATTGTATTTTATCGGTCCAGCTCTATCAATGAGAGGCAGTCCTATAATTGGTGAGATAGTAGCAAAGAAATCAACATAGTGCCACATATAAAGCAAATAGTGAAGGGGTGGAACTTGGAAGCAAATATGAGCACAATTTTACAACAGCGCCATTAATAATCATATACGAGTGCGGTACAATGTGAAACCATTTTCTCAGGCAACTCTGTCAAGCTCAACCTAATCCAAGTAATCGAACAAGGAAAAATCACAGCCTAAATAAACTTTGAGAAAAAGAAGTGTAGAACCTATGATGGCTGCGACTTAATAAAGAAGTGTTAAGGGGAGATCGTGAGAGACAATTCTGGGAGACAGTTCTGCACTTGTGAGTGGTGAGAGATGGGATAACGATGTCGATACAACTGTGATACGAGAGAAACAAGGGGCACGCTGGTCAATAAGAAATAGCTTAAGTTGGCGCTTAATAAAACATGGGGGGAGCCAGGGAGGGTGAGTTTAGTAAGCGGCGTTTTAAGAGGGTAGTCAGGGTAAGTCAGCTTACTAAGCACGTTTTTAAGCGTCCAACTTGTTTACTTCATCTGCTTTAGTAAGCTAACGGTAAAATAAACAGCCAAGTAAACATGTCCTTGGTGTTTAAAATCTATTAGTGTTAACATCATTTGGAGAATTTCAAAAGAGCTGGAGAAGTGGGGGAGTGCATGGGGTTGCCCCATACATTTTGTTGGGATCAAGGCAATTCGTCTAAAAATGCAGAAGTTGTCAAAAAAATTGTACTAAATGTTTGTGATACCGACAAAATGTATGGAGCGTGTACAAAAAAACATGTACACCAAACAGTTCTGAATAAAATCATGTACAATATTGGATAGTACAACAAGAAAAATCAGTTTTGCGAAGTTGAAGTGTGCAATATTCTCTCAGCTAGCAACAAATCATCAGGTGTGGTAACCTGCAAGTATACATATGTCTGAGCACAAAGAAAAATGGCTAGAATGTGTGTCCCAGAAGGCAGCAATTATTCTGGAGGGGTGGGTTACCTTGATATTAGTGTAAGAGCCTTTAGTGATATAGACTGGATGTTTAAGGAGCTCAACAATTGATACATCATCCGTCACTTCGAGACCTTCCCTGGAAAAGGGTTCAAACACTTGAATCATATCATCCTCAAATTGTTACACTTCACCAGTATGTTAAGTTTTTAACTCTCTTCCTCTGTGGTGCAATTCTTTAAGGCTACGTTTGGATCCCATAAAAATGTTAGGGAAAAGACACGAAAGTGCTAAGGAATGTTTACTTATTGCATTAGAAAATGCCAAGGAAAATAAAGTGTGATTATCGTTTTTAATTTTTCAGCATTTTCTTAGAATCTTTGGTTTTTATGTGACAAAAATAAATTAATCCAGAGGAAAGCATGAGTTTAAACAAATAAGAAACATAAATTCTGAACCAATGTTTTGTTTTCCTATCCTTCCAAACCTTTTCATATTAACTCCTTCATTGCATTGTACGAGTTTCAAGCGGACCCTAACCTAGCAATGACACTCAGAAAAAACTTCAGAGGCTGTTCAGTAGGCTTCAAATTTTCCTTATCAACATGTTTTTCACCAAATACTAACTACTGTCACTGGGCACTACTGGCTGAATTAGTTGATAATGAAGAAAAGCAGTTCCAGTTTTACTTCTTTGGATAAAATGGATGAAATTGATTTAGTTGTAGATGCTATTTTCTTACGTTTCTCTTCAAATATATAAATTTAAATGTTTGTTGTTAGATAATTAAGCGCATTCAGATTACGAATTCGATATAACTATAGAATTTAGGGAACATTCACGAAAATAGGAGTACAAACGTTTTGGGATTCCAAATAAGAGTACAATGCTTTTGTTTCCTAAATAGGGGTAATTAATGTCAAGTTTGAAAAATACTACGGAGTACCATGTTTAAAGCTTGGCAATGCCAAAACATTACAGTAATTACTCCTATTTACATAAATTTCTTTAGAATTTATGTTGTGCTCAAATTCTAGTCAAAGTTAACATAGAAAACATGTCTTGGATGAAAAAAGTGGTAGTAAAGGATTACCTATTGATAAGCTCAAACCCTTTCTTGAGCAACTCCGGCTTGATGACCTAAACTAGAGAAATTAATTGACTGGCTTCACCCGAGATTTCTTTTAACAATTGTACATAGTCAAAAGATTCTAATATGGGGTCAAACCTGTGGGGTTTGCATTTCCCATAGGGTCTTGCGGTTAAGAGTTCTCACAACAAACGATTCATCATTTGCCTGCACAGCCATTGCCGAGGAAATTCAAGCATCTGCTAAAACCAGCATGATCAATTAAATCATAAGTAAACAACTTTGCTTTCATTCCGTTTGAGATTTTTCCAAAAAATTACACTCTAAATCTAAATGCTATTAATTGAGCCAAGACTCCCAAGAGTATATTGTCATTAAAAATACCTCTTTGATTGTTGCTTTAGCCGGAACTCCAAGAACAGCTGCCCCTACAAGCAAACCATCCTTTAAAACCTGCAAAGAATCAACAAAAGGAGGAGATATATTAAGGCTTTATATAGGACTGGAGGGAGCAATATAAAATATAAATCATAAATCATATGTAGTATATATACAAAAGTGACTTGCCAAATATGAGGTAGGTTTTAAATTTTGAAAACAAAACATCATTTCGAAAACATGAAACATGAAGAGTTAACAAAACAAACTCTTGACAATCAAACCTTCTTGATATCTTCTGCGAGTACTAGAGGTCTTGCAGAGTCATGGATGCAAATGAGTTCAGAGTTCACATCAACAGCCTGATACATCAAATAAAACATTACATCATATAAATGAAATTGAGTTTATACAAGAAAAACAGATGTCTGGGTGTGTGAGAAGAAGTCTAAGTATAGCTACTGCGGCTTGTAACAATACTAAAGTCCATAATATTTAGAAAACATCTGGGTGACATCCAAAAAATATAAGTTGCACCAAATTTCCAAAATTTCCATTAGAACATTCCTAGATCAGAATTGCTTCTATGAATTATGAACACATAATAAAATTTGGCAAATGGCCACTCAAATAGGAAATTTAAAAGAGAGGTGATTAAAGAGCATCAGTATCTCATTAGAGGTAACCACATACCTGAAATCCACTATATACAGAATCTTGCCTCTCCTTTCCAGGCAATGCATATTTCAATTTAGTTTTGATCTTTTCTCTGGCATCTGCACAAAAACACTCTAATGACCATCAGCAAAATATCAAATGGAGCAGGAAAAGAGAAATAAAATCATGAAGAAACTAGACCTTCCAACCCTTTTTGGAGCAAGACATCAAATTGCATTTATTTTGCCCATAAAAGTTACAATACGGAGTTGATTAAATAAAAAAACACCTCTATACCTTCAAATACATCCTTATAAGATGGATCACAAACCACAACAATCTCTTTCACTTGAGGCAACTGGGAGAAGGTGTAGAAACTGAAACAAGCCAACAAACTATAAATTACAGAGAGATACAAGGTAGAAATAGCTTCTCAACTGCTAATATGTGAGTCTTCTTCTACTTTTTTTTACGGAATGAGTCTTCTTCTACAAAGCACACATTCCATATTAGTTATGAACTCAAGCATCTTTATATAATAAATTTATCCTGGTCAGCTTATACCAATTACCAAGGCTTTTGAATAACATATCAATTTTTTTCGCTTTGCATAAAAATTTGAAGAAATGAAAACACCATAAATCAAGAGCTCATACAATTCAATAAATTGAATAATAATTTTCCAAGTACCTGTACAATGCAATTGGTTGGCCTAAAAGTGGAATGTACTGCTTTGGCATGCTCACCTATAAGCACAAAATATTATCATCTAGACGAAGGTACGGATATATGGTGCATCATTTTGCATAACCCACACTAAGAATGTTTTACAGTAATTTATACTTACGCCCATTCTTTTGCCCATCCCTCCTGCAAGAAAAATCACCGAAACACTGTTCTCTTTCGTCACATAATCTGTGCTTCGCTGATGAGCAAAATCAATTGATATATTGAATTTGATGAAAATCCCAAACGTTTTAAAACAAATTAGGAAAGTATGCATATAACATGTATACATCGTCATTTCCTCCTGCTACTGCACAAAGAGTGATTCTTGAATGGGACCGTCTCCAAGAAATGAACTTTCCAGCGGGTGTGGGTACAATTGAAGGATCCTTGGGACAACATGTCGTTGTATACTGTTTTGGAGGCTTGGTCGTGAAGAAGAAGGGGGGTTTCGGAATGGAGATCTGAAGAAAGGACATGCTTAACAGATTTGGTTTTCATGTGATACCCTGATACGGAACATAAAAGGGAGGCGATCGTGTGACAAATCGAAGCAAGAGTCACTGATGAGTGGGGGTGAGCTAGCGGGAGAAACCTTGGACGGGCCGGGCCAAGGCCCGGTCGGGCCTCGGGTTTATTAGAGGTAGGCCCGGGACCGGCCCGTGCTATGGCCGGTGCCGGTTCGGGCCGGGTCACCCGCCCGGGTCACGGGTTGGGCCACCCGCCGGGCCGGGTCATATTTTTTTTAATTATAGTTTATACAAATTCTTATTAAAAACAAAGTTCAAGTGCATTTATTTGAAATATGAACTACATTTCAGAATTGAGACTAAAATAACAATATGAAATACATTTTCTAATACTCCGTAAATATCAATTGGGATTTCTTCTACTGTTGGTTGTCGTTTTACTTTTGTTACGGGACTTCATATGTTTTATTGGCATCCTGTATCCGTGTGAACGCCCCAAACTACACTCTTTCATGCACCACTTGCAAGTTGTCCACCATAGTTCGGTCTTCGGGTCCTTCCACTTATCAAAATTGTTTTGCATAAAGGAAGATTTACTTTCCATCTTTAAAATGTTAGATGTATAAGTAGGAATGTAGGATAAAAAGAGAAGATGAAGATGGAGAAGAGTTGGAGAAGAAGTGTAGAAAAATGTTAGAAAATAGATGTATTTATAGAATTTTTTGAACTCCACTCCCCACACCACCACCCTCAGGACCCCCCTGCCCCTCACCCAAAGCCCCAACGGCTATATAGCCGTTTGGGAGCTATTTTTTTTTAATTTTTTTAAATATTTTTTATTTTGAAAATTATACATATTGTAAAATAAGTTAATTAATTTAATGAATTAAGTAAAGCTATTTTTACTTAGAAAAAGTGATTTGATTTATAATTTACAAATGTTACAAAATAGGTGTATAAGTATTTAAACAAATTACATATTGTAAAGCTATTTTTAATTTAAAAACAGCCTTTAGAAAAATAAATTTGAGTTGTAAGTTTGTAACCAATTAATTAATTTGAGAAGTGCTACATATGAAAAACTGAACGCATATTTATTTGAAATATGAAGTACAAGTTTACAAATTACAATTGAGAATTTAGGGAAATATTAAAATATGAAATACATTTTATAATCCATTCTAAAATACTAATCAATCGGAATCTCCGACATAAGTAGAGTCACCATCGGTTGTTGAGTCATCCATAAAGTCTTGAGAGAGGGTGATGCTCATTTCTTGAGTTCTACGTGTGGCCTTCAACCAATCGTGGTAGCATATAAGCGTCTCAAGAGATTCTGCGCTCAATCTCGTTCTAGATGTCGTTAGGATGTTGCCGGCCGAACTAAATTCTTGTTCCACAACAACTGTTGAAACCGGCATTGATAGCACTTGCTTAGCCATTCGTGCTAAAATCGGGAACGTTCTTTGTTTTGACTTCCACCAGTTTAGAACGCCAAAGTCATCATTTTCTTCAAATTCAACTTCATATGTTAAATACAAAGTAATCTCATTTACTGCGCTTTGTTCAGTAACGTGAGTTGTTTTAGTTTTTTTCATAAGATTGCCAAATGCAGATTTAAAAATTGATTTCCCTTTAGATGAATATGTTCATGTCGGGGGAGGGGGCGCGTTGCCATATTGTGCACGAAACTCATTAAATACGGCATAAAATAAAGCACTAACCTCGTTGTATTCAGTTTTCGGATCTATGGGGTTATTGTCATACATTGGAAATTCACCAAAAAAAGCAAGATAATATAAGCTGAAACAATCTTCCAAATTAGCTAGTCTAAAATGAGGATCGAGAATAAATGCAATACCATAAATATGCGGAATATGTGCACAAAATTTTAAAAACTTTTCCTTTCATTAAATCACAAAAATAACTCACGTAAACGGCATTCTCAAATTCTCTAAAAGCACTGGCGAGATTGACAGCTTCACGAATAAATTGGTTTGCGGTAGGTTTATAAACATGACTAAAACTTTCAGTTGCATTAAAAAAACAAAATCAAAACATTACAAATTTTTTCGCAAGTGTCGATCTCAGCCGAGTTTATAATATAGTTATCATGTTGTTTTAAAAAAGCATGAAAATGTTCTTTATATCTAAGAACAACTTTATGTAATTTATAAGTACTATTCCAACGAATACTCAAATCTTTTGGAAAAGCAACATATCTCACACCTCTTTCAGTCAAGTAAGTTTGTCATTTTAATCTAAGTTGACCATTACCCCAAATACGTCTACCCCCTGACTACCTCCATAGCATCTCCTAACGCTTTTAGACCGTCTTGCACACATAAATTTATAACATGACACCACACAATTCACGCAATCTAGGTATAGCAGCAGTATTATTAGTAGCATTATCGAAATCAATAGCAAACACCTTATCAATCACATTATACTCAATTAAAATACGCTCAATCAAAATATAAATATGTTCAGCGGTGTGACGATCATTAAATTCACGAAAAGCAAGAACATGTTTATGCATATTCCAATCCGCATCGATATAATGTGCAGTCAGACCCAAATAATTTAAATGATGAAAATCATCCCTCCCATATGTCAGAACAAATAGTAACACGTCCATCAAAGTTTGCAAAAAAAAACTGTAACCTTGGCTTTTCCGCAACATAAAGCCTTATAAATTCTTTCTTAACAGTTTGGCAACTATAACCTCTAAATTGAGGATTTAAACTACCGCATGCATAATCTCTTAAAGCAAGACTTTCAGAAAATATATAAGACAAATTTTCTTCACAAATTAAGATAGCCATATCAGTCAATTTTTGTTCATCCTTGTATGAAAAATTACCAATATGTTGAGAATTCGCAAACCTCGATATTTGAGTTTGCTTCCCCGTTCTGCCGCCTAAGATGCCTTGCGGCGGATCCGTATCCGCCGGAGGTCCCCAAGATATAATTTTTGTTGCACCACTTGCAGGTTGCGTGCCAATACCCGGTTTGTGCGTCATTCCACATATCAAAATTATTTTTCATTAGTTCAGATTTACTTTTTTTTTATTACCGGTGGTGGTTTGGGATGAGGCAGGCTCGTCGGCGTCGTGGCTGCCGCCACCTTCCTCCTCGGCCGTCTCCGGTTCCATTTCCTCCGCATCTTCATCCTCAAGCTCATCTTCGTCAATGGCCGTCGGGATTTGTTGTTGGAGAAAGCGGTTATTATGTCGGGTCAATTCTTGTTGTACTTGTTTTTCGGACATCGCATCTCCATCCCTCCTTTGATAACCCATTTCAAAATCATCCCGGCTTTGAGATGAAGAGCCAGCAAGTTCTCTACCTTTGCGGGATTTCTTCTCCCAATCTCGTTCCTTCGGTTGCGCTCGAGGTTACTCAAATTAACCGAATATCTATCACCTTCCATCTTAAAAATGTAACAAATATTAATTTGCAACAAATATAATAATGAATACAAAAGTAATGCAACTAATTAAAACTATTTTAATTAATACTTCAAACTAATTTAGTGAAAACTACTTTAATAAAATGTGAAGTACTTTAATTAAGTAGTTAATTAAAGTGTGACTCTAAAATACAAATTAAAATTCGAACTAATCAATAGTATTTTTTAATAAATACTTAAAACTAACAAGTGTGACTTTAACTAAAATGTGAGTAATTAAATTATAGCAACTTTTCAAGTACTTTAATTTAGTGAAAACTACTTTAATAAAATGTTAAGTACTTTAATAAAATGATTGAACTACTCTTTTTCGTTCAAATATAAATTCAAACTATTATGATGTGACTTTAACTATAATGACAATTAACTAGTTTTTTAAAGTAAAGTTGTTTTAGCAATTAATGGGAATACTAATTAACTAGTATAATGAAAAATGTAACAATTAGTGGGAATACTAATTAACTAATCAAGTAATGTTAATACAAAATGTAAGTAATAAGACAAATGTATGAATGTGTATAGTAATTAATGGGAGTAATTGTGTAATAGAATGATTTTAAGTAATATTAATTAAAGTGTAACTAATATATAATATATTGTTTATAGTATATAATATATAAGTATACTACTATAAGATGAGTAATACACTTATATTTAATACTTTAATATATAAAGTATATATTAAGTAGATGTAGAATGTATGTATTAAGTAGATATAAGTAGATAATGAGTAGAGATTAAGTAGATAAGAAATATAGTATATGTATTTACAAGTAGATAATTAATACGGAGTATATAAGTATATATAATAATTGTATAAGTATTAAATCGTAAAATAAAATATAATGGAGAATAAGATAATTTGAGAAGATGAATATGGAGATGAGTAGAGAGTAGGATTTAGGAAGAGTTGAAGAAGAGGTGTGAAAAAATGTTTAAAATTAGGAGTATTTATATGTTTTTTTAAACCCCCCACCCCCCAAAAGCCCCGGACCCCCCTGGTACCCACCCAACGGCTATATAGCCGTTTGGGATGTGGGTCAAGAGCCAAACGGCTCTTTACAAATTAAAAGGATTTTTTTTTAAATTATGGCTGTTATGTCCGGACCCGGGCCTGACCCGGTCGGGCCAGGTCGCCAAAACCAAGCACCGAGCCCGGACCCCCACCGGTTCGGGCACTGACCCGGACCCGGACCCGAGAACCGGGCCGGTTCCGGGCCCGCACAGTAGCGGGCCGGGCCGGTCCACGGGCCGGGCAGCCCGAACCGGCCGGTCTGCTATCCGCTAACCGCTAATTGTTGAATGCCAAACATGCCCATTATAAAATTCCAAAATATGATTGTCGTATTCTTATTTCCGAAATAGGAGTGATTACTGTTATATTTTGACAGTACTAGACTTTAAATATAATTGTAAAAACTTATATTTAGAAAACAAAAATAAAAAAGTCGTAATCCGGAATTTCAAACCATTTTTACTCTTATTTCTGGAATTTAAATTTAAAACTATTAGAAATTATTGTTTTTGAATGATCCAATGTTTGGCAACTGATAGTGGAATCTCAAAATGATTATTAGGCACAAGCCCATTATTATAAGAGTTATTTACATTAATATTACCAATATTATTTGGAGTTACA